AAAAACAGACACACAGGCCAATGGAGCATAAAAAAAGAGACCAAAAATATATCCATGTATTTATAGCTAAGTGATTTGGAATAAAGGTGACAATTTCTTTTTTTATTTTTGAGATGGACTCTTGTTCTGTCACTAGGCTGGAGTGCAGTGGCACGGTCTCAGCTCACTGCAACCTCCGCCTCAGGTTCAGGTGATTCCCCTGCCTCAGCCTCCTGAGTAGCTGGGACTATAGGCATGCGTCACCATGCCTGGCTAATTTTTTGTATTTTAGTAGAGATGTGGTTGATCGTCTTGATCCCCTGACCTCATGATCCACCCTCCTTGGTCTCCCAAAGGGCTAGAATTATAGGCATGAGCCAAAAGAACAGTATCTTCAATAAATGATGTTGAGAAAACTTTATATCCACAGGCAGAGAAATAAAATGAGACCCTCATCTCACACCATATATAAAAATCAATTCAAAATAAATTAGACATTTAAATGTAAGGCTTGAGATGAGCCTGGTGGCTCACACCTGTAATCCCACACTTTGGGAGGTGGAAGTAGGCAGATTACCTGAGGTCAGCTGTTTGAGACCAGCGTGCCCAAGGTAGTGGAACTCCGTTTCTACTAAATAAACAAAATTAGCTGGGCATGGTTACAGGTGCCTGTAATCCCAGCTACTCAAGAGGATGAGGCAGAAGAATCACTTGAACCTGGGAGGCAAAGGTTGCAGTGAGCTGAAATCGTGTGCCATTGCACTCCAGCCTGGGCAGCAAGAGTGAGACTCCATCTCAAAAGTAATAATCACAAATAAATGTAAGGCCTGGAACTCTGAAACTACTACAGAAAAATAGAATAAAAGCCCCATAAGATTGTTCTGTGCAGTAAGTTGGGCTTTTTATTTTTATTTTTTTTTTGAGACAGTCTCACTCTGTCACCTAGGCTGGAGTGCAGTGGCATGATCTTGGCTCACTGTAACCTCCGCCTCCCGAGTTCAAGTGATTCTTCTGCCTCAGCCTCCCAAGTAGCTGGGATTACAGGCACCGGCCACCATGCCCAGCTAGTTTTTGTGTTTTTAGTAGAGATGGGGTTTCACCATGTTGGCTAGGCTGGTCTCAAACTCCTTACCTCAGGTGATCCGCCCACTTCAGCCTCTCAAAGAGCTGCGATTACAGACATGAACCACCATGCCTGGCCAGTTTTTTTTTTTTTTTTAAACCTCAAAATCTTAGGAAATAAAAGGAAAAATAGATGAGTCAGATTACTTCATATTAAAAAGCTGCCGCACAGAATCTGATACAATCAACAGGAAGAGACAACTAAAAAAATGAGAGAAAATATTTGCAAATTATACATGTGGCAAGGAGTTAATATAAAAAATATGTAAGAAACTCTGCTGGGCACAGTGGCTCACACCTGTAATCCCAGCATGTGGGGAGGCTGAGGTGGGCAGATCACCTGAGGTCAGGAGTTCCAGACTAGCCTGGCCAACATGGTGAAACCCCATCTCTACTAAAAATACAAAATTAGCCAGGCGTGGTGGCACGTACCTGTAATCCCAGCTACTATGGAGGCTGAGGCAGGAGAATTGCTTGAACCAAGGAGGCGGAGTTTGTAGTGAGCTGAGATCACACCACTGCACTCCAGCTGGGGAGACAGAGCAAGAGTCAGTCTCAAAGAAGAAAGAAAAAATATCTATATATATCTATAGATATATAAATATATGCATAATATATATGAAACTCAATTAACTATACAACAAAAACAAGTAACTATTAAAATGAACAAAAGGCTTAAATATTTTTCAAGAAAAGACACACTTATGGCCAACAGATATATTTAAATATGCCCAATATTAATTATGATCAGGGAAAGGCAAGCCAAAAACAACTGAGATATCAATTCACTCCTGTTAGAATGACTCTTATTAAAATGAAAAAGAAAAATGTTATGAAAGATGAGAAGGCAATGCGTGCACACTGTTGGTTTGAATGTAAATGAAGACGGCCATTATAAAAAATAAAATAGAGATTTCTCAAAAAACTTAAACTACTATGTAATACAGCTGTTGCACTATTGGGTATATATCCAAAACAAATGAAATTAGAATGAAGAAATACTTACGCTTGTATGTTGTTTGCAGCACTCTTCACAATAACCAAAATATAGAATCAACAGTTCAGGCTGGGCGTGGTGCCTCATGCCTGTAATTCCAGCACTTTGGGAGGGCAAGTCAGGTGGATCACTTGAGGTCAGGAGTTCGAGACCAGTCTGGTCAACATATATACTAAAAATATAAAACTTAGCCAGGCATGGTGACGGATACCTGTAATCCCAGTCACTCTGGAGGCTGAGTTGGGAGAATCACTTAAACCCAGGAGGTGGAGGCTGCAGTGAGCCAAGATTGCTCCACTGCACTCCAGTCAGGGTGACAGAGACTTCACATCAAACAAAAAAAATCAATTCAGCATCTAATGATTAAATAAAGACAATGTGGTAGATATACACAGTGGAACACTATTATTTAAAAAAGAATTTTTTTTTGAGACCGAGTCTCACTCTATTGCCCAGGCTGGAGTGCAGGGGCACAATCTCGGCTCACTGCAACCTCCACATTCCTGGTTCAAGGGATTCTCATGCCTCAGCAACCAGAGTAGCTGAGATTACAGGTGTTCACCACTATTCCCAGTTAATTCTTTGTTACACTTTTAGTAAAGATGGGGTTTCTTCATGTTGCCCAGGCTGGTTTCAAACTCCTGGGCTCATGCAATGCACCTGCCTTGACCTTCCAGAATGCTGGGATCACAGGTGTGAGCCACCACACCTGGCCTAAAATTAAAAAAAAAAACCATTATTTTTAATCACATGGATTAAGCTGGAGAACATGATATTGAGATAAGGTTAATAGTTCATGATTTCACTTACACATGGATTCCAAAAAAACTTAATCTCATTGATGTGGAGTAAAATGGTGACCATCAGAGGCCAATATATTTTTTAAAAATGGGCTGGGCACAGTGGCTCACACCTGTAATCCCAGCACTTTGGGACGCCGATCATGAGGTCAGGAGATCAATACCATCCTGGCCAATATGGTGAAACCCCGTCTCTACTAAAAACACAAAAATTAGCTGAGTGTGGTGGCACACGCCTATAATCCCAGCTACTTGGGAGGCTGAGGCAGGAGAATCACTTGAACTGGGGAGGCGGAAATTTCAGTGAGCCGAGATTGTGTCACTGCACTCCAGCTGGCGACAGAGTGAGACTGTCTCAAAAAAAAAAAAAAAAGAATAAAAGGGTTGGAACGATGTCTGTCAAATAATACATAGAGTTGAATAGGAGAAATAAGTTCAAGAGATTTATTGTACAGCATGGTGACTATAGCTCATGTTTTTGTATTTTTGAAAAGTGGTAAGACAATGTCACGTGGTCTCACCACAAATATGTTAATTATGTGAAGTATTAATTACCTAGAACTAATCATCTGACAATGTATATACACTTCAAAATATTATGTTCTACAGAAAAGTACACATTTTATCTGTCAAGTTAAAAAGTTTTAAAGCTTTAAAGGATAACAATGTGTCAAATACTGTCCCTGTCTTTGTCATAATCTTGGTTGAATAGTATCAAAATATATAATTTTTGTTCTTGGTTGAATAGTATCAAGATATACAGTTTTTGTGTTTTTATAATTTGTCAGTATAACCACAGGAACTCCAGTATTTAACAGCATGTTCTGGACCCAGCACATTGCATGGGAGCTTATGTACTTTAGGATTTTTACTTTAAGCTTCGGGCACCTGGAGTTTCTGGTGCTGATGGCAATGGTGTGAAAGACACTCAGTGAGCAGGTGTTGCTTATGGTCCCATGACTGGCTACCCTGTGAGCACAGTAAACTAGTTGGCATGCAAAATAACAGGAAAATGTTTTAATCCAAATGCTGTCATGATGTCCAAAATTTATCCAGAAAAAATGACCAAGGAGTTGGCGCATTTCGGGGACAGAAAATAAAAACTGTAGACTAAACTTCACCCACTTAAAAAATTGTATGAGTGAGAAATTCCTTCAAATTGTAGTATCAGTATGGAAAAGCAATATTCTTTTAAGTTTCAAATTCACAGAGCTCATTATTTTACAGCCTTTAACATTCACACTTAAAAACAAGATTCTGCATGGAAATGTAAGTTGTGCTATAAATAAAAAAGTAAATTTAAAATTGTTCACTTACCATTAACTCTCTTAAAAAATTTAATTTCTGTATTTTTCTTGCAAACTTTACGTTTGCCACACTTTGTGTAAGAATCTAATTTTTTTTTTTAAACAAAGAACAACCATGCTGATTTAATCCTCTCACCTGTGGACAATGTATGCTTTTATCTTAACTAATCTGAAAGTTATATTGATAACCGAACTCTCCAGTTAAAAAAAATTATTCAGTGCATTAAAGAATACCAACTTTCAGCTGGGTGCCGTGGCTCACACCTGTAATCCAAGCACTTTGGGAGGCTGAGGCACGTGGATCATATGAGGCCAGGAGTTTGAAACTAGCCTGGCCAACATGGTGAAACTTGGCCTCTACTAAAGATACCAAAAAAAAAAAAAAAAGCCAACCTGTGGTGGCAGGTGCCTGTAATCCCAGCTACTTGGGAGGCTGAGGCAGGATAAGTGCTTTCACCTGGAAGGCAGAGGTTGCGGTGAGCCCACGTTGCACCACTGCACTCCAGCCTAGGCGAAAGAGTGAGACTCCATCTCAAAAAAAAAACAAAAAAAACAAAAAAAACAAAAAACGAACTTTCTCATCAAAATTTACAAGGCACCATGTGAAATGAAATGGCATTAAGACAACAGTGAGAAAACTGAAGTCATAACACAGAAAATGGAGGAGAAGGGCTGTGCTGCATACATAGCTGGGATACACATAATACAGACAAATCTGAAGATAATTAAGAAATAAAAGATGCAGAACTTCTCTTTAAATTCAGCAGGATTCAGCATTGTGGCCCGGAAAATATGTCCTCTCCACATGAAGAATCAATTTTATTTCTTCACAACTGATATTTTTCATCTCTGAATTGAAGTTACAAACTAACTTTAGCAGGAATACTTACGGCTTATTATGGAACACTTGTTAGTAAGAACTGTGTTTGCTACATTTAAATATAAAAACATCCTCATGACTTATCAAGCTTCCCTAGTACTTATCTGAACAAATTAACTCAATAAATAAATTTACTTATGTGAATTATAAAAAGTGAAAAGAAAAATAACAAAAGAGCGATAGAGTTCTCCAACTAAAAACAAAATGAAGTGTTCTAACTAAATAAAATGTAACTTAATACACTAATTGTGGAATTACATTTAAAAATTTTGTATGCATTACTAAATTTTATAACAATTATTCTTATAATCACAGACCAGCTCACATAATGAATACTTTGTAATCTGTAAAATATTTATATAAAAAAAGATACAAAATAATTAGGGGTGTATCATGAGTACCAGGCAAGTATAAACAGAATTTTCATGGGGAGATTCAGAACTATCAGCCATAGATTGTACAGTAATAAATTCAATACAAAGCAGAGAATACATTTGCTTTCAGCATTTTTGAGGTTTTTAGTTTTCTAGTAGTCATCTTGTTAAAATGATTTGTTTTGTTCAATATTGCTTTTGTCTTCTGAAAACAGGTATAAATTCATACACAAAAACTCACTCTATAATTTTCTTACACCTAAGGTTTATCTTTAGACTAACATATATTTAACTCTACGTAAATGAAAACTAAAAGTCTGCATGTGTTTGCAGGCAGACAGGAAACATGCTCAAAAAATAAATATTAGAAAACTTTAAAAATATTTATTCAGGACCCAGAAATGTATGGATTTTATTTATACTTCTACATAATTTATTATGACCATAAAAATAACACTGTAATCAATAACAATAGTACATGTTAAAATAACTAAAAGTATAAAAGTGGATTGTTTGTAATACAAAAGATAAACACTAGAGGTGATGGATACCTCATTTACCCTGATGTGATTATTATATACTCTCTTCTTGTATCAAAATATGCCATATATTACATGAATATATACTCATATACCCCAAATAATTAAGAAAAATAAATTTAAATAAAATAAACATTTGGCTGGGCACAGTGGCTCATGCCTGTAATCCCAGAACTTTCAGAAGCTGAGGTGGAGGGATCATTTGAGGTCAGAAGTTCAAGACCAGCTTGACTTACATTATGAAACCCCATCTCTACTAAAATACAAAAATTAGCTGGGCATGGTGGTGGGCACCTGTAATCCCAGCTACTGGGAGGCTGAGGCAGAATTGCTTGAACCCAGGAGGCAGAGGTTGCAGTGAGCCAAGATCACGCCACTGCACTCCAGCCTGGATGACAGAGCAAGATTCCCTCTCAAAAAAAAAATAAATAAAATAAAAACAAAATTTTAACCTACAGAAGTAATATTCTTTAACTTATTTGCAGTCAAAGCCACTGGCAAAAGAGATTACTAGAGATGTTAATCCATTATGTTACTAAACAGTATATATATTGTTACCATGTTTTATATGCACCCTTGAGTAAGGAGGAATAGGTTAAGGTTTGTGACATAACAACACTTCATTGAATGCACAATAGTATTTAACATGTTAAAAAGGTTGAATATATTAACATCACATATAATCTGAAATCTAAAAAAATATACTGCATTTTATATAAAAGTATAATTAGTACAATATACTAAATTAATTTTAATTTACTTATAAATGAAATTTAAAATGCTTTCTTCTCACAATGCAGAACATTACTCTGAACGCCTAATGCACATATTACTCAATATTATAAGTTAACCACAAAAGTCTCTTCACTTAGATTTTCGTCATACATCTCACATTTTAATGTCCTTACTTTTTCATAACAAAGTTTATAAATAATGCTCACCTAATAAAAAAGAATCTCTCATATCTTTGATGCAGCAACAATTGATCACATGCTTTCACATGTAAAATAGGAATGAAGAAACAGCAGGAAATAATTTGAGAGCTGAATTACATAATTATTCACTTTTCAAAATATTTTTTCAAAAAGTTAAGCATACTTTGAACTGCAAAAACTTCTACTACTTTTAAAGTTATATACAAATAATTTTTTTTACAAATTTTAGTTTTAGATTATTTTCTATACTCAGCACTCTGATTTAGTACAATATCTGAAGTGTCAGTGCCTTATATATTTCTACTGTAAATTCTGATATTTACATAGATTTAATTTTTGATTAAAAATTTAAATTTCTACTGTATCTGCAAAAATATGTTTTAGTATGAACTCTCTCGTGTTTTCTAAGCTGTAGTTTTTGAAAAAGTACTTTTCCAAATGTATTACATTTGCAAGGTTTTTTTTCAATATAAATTCCCTGATACTGAACAAAGTTTGAGCAACTGCTTCAGAGGTTTCCTCTAATACAAAATGTGTACAGTAAGATCTGTGATACAAGTAAACATATTACAATCCTACTACAATGTTCCTCTTCAAAATACTCTTCACCTTAAAGGCTTATATTTTCTTAAAGATATTTTGACAGTAGTTGCCCTTATAATGTTTTTATTAAGTAGGAACTCTCTGATGTTGAGTAAGATGTGAGCATGTATTAACGGCTTTTTCACAGTCTTTATATTTGTACAACCTTTCTCAAGTATAAATGCTTTCCTATGCAGTAAGGTGTGAGCATTGGTTAAAAGTTTTGCCACATTGTTCACACGTGTAGAAGTTTTCTCCAGTATAAATTATCTTACCTACAATCAAGTGTGACAACCATTTAAAAGCTTTATCAAATTCTTCACATTTCTAGGATTTCTCACCACTGTGATTTCCTTTATGTTTAGAAAAGTTTGAGGTGTTTTCAAAGTACTGTCACATCTTTCTGGTTTGTAGAATTTCTCTCTAGTATGAATTATCTCTAGTATGAATTACCTTATGTCTGTTAGGAATTGAGAACTTATTAAAGGCTTTGCCATGTTCTTCACACTCCAGTATGAATTTTTTTATGTTTAGTAAGAGTTTAGGACTAAAGGCTTTGCCACATTCTTCACATTTGTAGGGTTTCTCTCCAGTATGAGTTATTTTGTTTAATAAGGCTCAGGGACTGGTTAAAGGCTTTACCACATTCTTCCCATCTGTAAGATTTCTCTCCAGTATGAGTTATCTTATGTTTACTAAGGTTTGAGGATCGGTTAAAAGCTTTGCCACATTCCTCACATTTGTAGGGCTTCTCTCCAGTATGAATCATTTTATGTGCAGTTAGTTGTGAGCACCGGTTAAAGGCTTTGCCACATTCTTCACATTTGTAAGGTTTCTCTCCAGTGTGAATCATCTTATGTACAGTTAGTTGTGAGGACCGGTTAAAGGCTTTGCCACATTCTTCACATTTGTAGGGTTTCTCTCCAGTATGAATCATCTTATGCGTAGTAAGGTTTGAGGACTCATTAAAGGCTTTGCCACATTCTTCACATTTATAGGGTTTCTCTCCAGTATGAATTCTCTTATGTTTAGTGAGGGCTGAAGACCAGTTAAAGCCTTTGCCACATTCTTCACATTTGTAGAATTTCTCTCCAGTATGACTTATCTTATGTGTAGTAAGGTATGAGAATCGGTAAAAAGCTTTGCCACATTCTTCACATTTGTAGGGTTTCTCTCCAGCATGAGTTATCTTATGTGTAGCTAGGGTTGAGGATTGGTTAAAAGCTTTGCCACATTCTTCACATTTGTAGGGTTTCTCTCCAGTATGAATTATCCTGTGTGTAGTAAGGTGTGAGGACCGGTTAAAAGCTTTGCCACATTCTGTACATTTGTAGGGTTTCACTCCAGTATGAATTCTTTTATGTGTAGTGAGGTGTGAAGACCGGTTAAAGGCTTTCCCACATTCTTCACATCTGTAGGGTTTCTCTCCAGTATGAATTCTCTTATGTGTAGTAAGGTGTGAGGACCGGTTAAATGCTTTCCCACATTCTTCACATTTGTAGGGTTTCTCTCCGGTATGAATTCTCCTGTGTGTAGTAAGGGTTGAGAACCAGTTGAAGGCTTTGCCACAATCTTTACATTGGTAGGAATTCTCTGTAATATGAAATCTTTTATGTTGACTTAGGTGTAAGAGCATGCAAAATGATTTCTCACATTTTTTACATTTGAAAGGTTTCTTTTCAGGTTGTCTTGTCTTATGTCTGTTTGAATTTGAAAAGGTATGAAAGACTTCTGCATATGGATCACATTGAAATATGTTTCTCTGGGTAGTTATCAAACACCGGTTTAATTTGTTATCATCTTCTTTGTGCACCTCACACTCATCCACACTTTTACAGCCTTTTTGTAACTGTAAATTGTCATGTTCATAATTTCCATATTTTTTCAGTATCGCTTCTTGAAAAGAATCTTTAATGTCTTGCTCTGGCCAAAGGTCTTGGGCAAAATGAGAACATATAACTGAAAGAAACAAAAATAACAAATTACTTACTAGACACAGATAAATACAGTTTACAAATCTAACTTATAATATTATACGAACTATATAAATAAGATGGCATAGGAAAATACCAAAGGCCCTCATTCCTTTATAGACATATAAATGTAAAACAAAACAAAACAAAACAAAAAAACATACCAACCAAATTACATGTGAAAAAAATTTATAAATGAGTTAAGTGTGTGAAGTGCCCTGGTGAGAACAATGCAAAGAGCCACTTAGAAGTAAAAATCTGTTACATTTACCCAACACAGCTCTTCCTGCTCCCCAATATAACATAGTGTCTTTAGAAGTAAATTGCCAACTTTTTAATGACAAGTAAAACACTGGGACTTTATCTTTACTACTTGCTTCTAGGAGCCTTTCCAGACACTGGTGTGTATCTCTCACAAAATATAGTGCTGAAAGAAATGGTGGTATACTTTGGAGTGACAGTTTAAGTTTGCTGAGACCAAAGGTAAATGTTTTAGCAACAGAGAGACTGCTGTACCACAGAGAGAAAACAGGCATAGCACGTGATTACTATTAAGAAGAAACATGAATAAACTCCTTTAACTAAAAAATAAGACAAAATTTCAGACAAGACACATTCTAAGAACACGTTTGAGAGACTCCCAGAATCTCTAACCAAGACAATTGTTCAGACCATGCCAGGACAAAGCTACATTATGAAGATTGTAACAGGTAGCCTTTTTTAATGTCCAAATTTCAATCAAAGATTACAATGTATACAAAATAAGGCAATATGGTTCCATAAAAATATAATTTTCAAAAAGAAACCATAAAAAAGTATATGCATTGATTTTAAAAATTGAAAATAAATTGAATAATACTCAATAAGTGAAATAGGAAGACAGAGAACTATAGAAAATCAGAAAAATGAAGAACATAAATATTTAGAATATCAAAAAAACAGAAATTGTGGAGGTAATAAATATAAAAAAGAATAGCTGAAAAATCTTGAAAGAAACAATGATGTACAAATGAAGAATCTCAACAAACAAACTAGGAAACACACAAAGATATTTATAACAAACACATATAAGTACAATTTCAAAAGTCACAGACCAGAAGAGAATCTTGGGAGCTGCAAGATAAAAGTGATGCCTCATTTGCAAGCATCTTATGAGACAGCCAGTGAATTGTCAACAAAAATTTTGCAGGCCAGAAGGGAAGTGTGTGATAAAGTCAAACTCCTGAAAAATACAGTGATCAAGTAAGTATAATACCATCAGCAAATCTGTCCTGTCAAATAAAAAGAAAAAAACTTTCAAAAATAACAAAATTCTGAAAAGCATATTGGAACTCCATAAACCTTACATATAAAAAGTACTGAAAGCAGTTGCTTCTATTGAAAATAACATGATTTGACAAAAACAACACATAGTCAAATAAAAATACATTACTTTTGGGAGTGGGAAGGGATAGCGTTAGGAGAAATACCTAAAGTAAATGATGAGTTAATGGGTGCAACACACTAACAAGGCACATGTATACATATGTAACAAACCTGCATATTGTGCACATGTACCTTAGAACTTAAAAGTATAATAATAAAAGAAAAAATGAAATAAAAACAAAACAAACAAACACAAAAAAATCCACAACAACAAAAAATTACATTACTTTCTGGAAAGATTATATGCACATATATAATTTTACTTCTAAGTATATGCACATACACCAAAATGGAATTTCTTAGCATTATCATAATGGTGCAGAAAACATTTTTAATTATTCCCTAAAATTTGAAAATCACAGAAATCATTATAAACATCTGTTAATAAATACACCACATAAAAAGATACAATTAGCAAAATCAATGACAAATTTGAGGGGAGATGTGATGAGAAAAAAAATTGTGCATGCAACTGAAGTTCCTTTTTACCAGATTGAAATATACTGTTGTATCTTTTGGAGGTTTATATAATCCCCAAGGTCCCAAGAAGAACATATGTGTATAGATAAATGAAACAAAATAAGAAAGAAGTAAAAGCATATCAATATAAAAATAAAAAGACACAGAGAGAAAATGAGTGACCAAGATATAAGAATCAAATAAAGCAATGAATAAAATAACATTACTATGTCTTTCTGCTTCAGAAGATTATTTAAATGTATATCTTTAACTTTTCAATCAAGAGACATACTCTCAATACAGATTTATTTAAATATTTTAAAAACCGATATCCAACTTGCCTTTCTATGAGAGTAAGCTGAGATCTATTGATAAAAAAAAAAAAAACTGAAAGTGGCAAGATGGATATAGATATTGCATAAAAATATTAACCAAATGAGAGAAGAGGTCAAAATAATATTACATAAGGTACATCTTAAGTGAAAAACTTACATATTTTATAAAATGTACTACAAGTCAAAACTGCAAAGAGACAAAGAAGGACATTAAACAATAATAGATTCATTTACTGATAATGCAACTCAAATGTGTGTGTGTGTGTATCTCACATTAAGGTTCCAAATACATAAAGCAAATACTGACAGAATGGAAGAATCACCTAGAAAGCAATATTATAGTAGAACATTTCAATAACTTACTTTCCATAATAAATATAAAACAAAACAGAATATTTGTAAGTGAAGAGAGGACTTGAAGGCAGTATAAAACTATTATTTCTAACAGAGGTATAGAGAAGTCTCCTCAACAATATCGGGATACACATGCCTCTTAATTGCTCATAGAACATTCTGCGGGCTGCCCTCTTTGGGTCCCCTCCCTTTGTATGGGAGTCCTGTTTTCACCCCATTAAATCTTGCAACTGCAAAAAAAACAAAAAAAAAACAAAAAACAAACAAACAAACAAACAAAAAACCATTCTGCTTAATAGACCATATGGTAGGCCAAAAAAGAAGTCTTAACACATTTGTTAAGACTGAAATTGTGTGGATTATATGAACAAAATGGAATGAGAGTATAAAACAATAATAGAAAAAGATTAAAAATTTACAAATACATGGAAATTAAACAACACACTCTTGAGCATGCTCCTGTTCAAAGGTAGAAATAATTGATATTTTGAAAACGTCCATACTTCTCAAAGTAATCTACAGATTTAATGCAATGTTGTTAAAAAATTCTCATTGCATTTTTGAGGAAATAAAAACAACCACCCCAAAAGTATATAAAATGTCAAGAGACAATAAAGTACCCAAGAGTCTTCAAAAAAAGAAAATGTTGAAGGGATTATATATAGTTCTGATTTCAAAACACATTACAAAGCTACAGAATTAAAGTAATTTGGTATGAGTATAATGGGTAAAAAGTAGACTAATAAAATAGAATGCTGCAGCTATAGAAACTTTCACATATATGGTTATATGAAGAGTTATTTTCATATCCATAATTATTGCAGCATTTTTACTGAAAGGCAATAGGTAAAAGCAATGCAAATTTCTTTTTTTTTTTTTTTCCTTTTTTTTTTAAGATAGAGTCTTGCACTGTTGCCCAGACTGGAGCACAGTGGCACGATCTCAGCTTACTGCAACCTCAGCCTCCCATGATCAAGAGATTCTCCTGCCTCAGCCTCCTGAGTAGCTGGGACTACGGGTGTGTGCCACCATGCCCGGCTATTTTTTGTATTTTTAGTAGAGACAGGATTTCACCATGTTGGCCAGGATGGTCTTGATCTCTTGACCTTGTTATCTGCCTGCCTCAGCCTCTCAAAGTGCTGGGATTACAGCAATGAGCCACTGCACCCGGCAGAAATGGAAACTTCTGTCACCAAATTATCCAATAGATATAATTTGCAATATAAAAATACTGGAATATCACCCAGGATTTAAAAAGCAGGAAATATCCTAACAACTCTAAAAATAAAGCTTGATGACATTATGCAAAATAAAATGAGCTAGCCACAATAAGACAGAGATTGTATGAGACACATGAAGCAGTCACATTCTTAGAAATAGAAAACAAAGTAGTTTTTGCAAAGTGCCAGAAAATCAGAAAAACTGGTTGTTGTTGTACATTGAGATTGAGCTTTGCAAGATAAAACATTCTAGGGGTATGTTGCATGAGATTATAAATATAATTAATAGGACTAAACAGATTAAAAAATATTTGATAATGAGCCAGGTGCAGTAATTCACATCTGTAATCTCAGGACTTTGGGAGGCCAAGGTGGGTGGATCACGAGGTCAGGACTTTGAGACCAGCCTGGCCAACACAGTGAGGCAAAAGAATCGGTTGAAGCCAGGAGGCGGAGGTTGCAGTGAGCCAAGATCCCACCACTTCACCTCAGCCTGGGCAACAGAGTGAGACTCTGTCTCAAAAAAAAAAAAAAAAAAATTGATAATATTTTGTGTTTTTGACAAGTAAAAATGAACAATACCTAAAAAGATCCAATTATAATAGTTTCAATATTATCTTCAAATTTCAAAGTGTTTCTCCCACACAGAAGTGATGTAGATTCACAACAGATATTGGAATTAGGAGAATTTTTATAACTGGTCACCTAGCCAAGACTGAACCACCATTTACAACAAACCTACACAACAAATATACAAGTCATAAAATAAACAGAGATATTTATAGAGGCAAACAAACACAGAGGTAATTATATTGGCAGTAGACATATGGCTGATTCATATTTGATTTTGCTGGACACTGCCTTAAATTGTACAGAGTTAAACACTGTCATACACAATTATAAAATAAAACATCAAAACACAAGCAACTGGTGTTACATGTCATACCTTAAAATATGTAACACAATATAAAATATAAAATAAATATTAAAAAAATATGTAATATAAAATATATAACACAAAATTAAAATATGGAATGTAAAATGTATTGGACACCATCAAGTAGATCAATATTTTCATGAAATGAATCTTAGAAGAATATAGGGCAAAAGTAATACAGAGGTTACTTGAAGAAAAAAAGGCTGAGAACTTCCCAAATTTTGAGGTAATAAAAAAATTTCTAACCAATACTTAA